ATAATGTGTCAAAACTTTAATATTGTTGAGTTACAAACATTTTTCTGAAATGGTGAAATTTTATAACTCAGGTTGTTAAGATAATTTTGTATTTCATTTTCCATATTTTTGTAATATTAATTAAGGGTATTTCAATACGTTTAAATGTGTTTTAAACTCCTAAAAATCAAAAATATTATAAACTAGTTTCCAAAATTATCAAACTTTGGATTTTCATTCAAAATACAATAGAGTTCTTCTAGAAAATTCCTCTTGAATTTTTGATGTGATTAACTATTTTTCCAAAATTTTAAGGCTTCATAACCATATAAACTCATGAAAATAGCATTCAAAGGATAAAAATTCTCAAACTTTTTATAGTACTTCTATCAAACATACTTAAGCTGGGAAAAATATAAGAATGGTTTTTCTAAACTGTTTAACCGAATTTTATGATTTTTGGGCATTTATTCTAATAAAAATTGAAATAATTAGAAAAATGTTTCAAAAATTATGCAAACTTTTTTATTACTGTTACTAAACGTTATTAACCTGGAAAAAATATAAAAATGGATTTCTAAACTGTTTAACCCAAGTTTTTGATTTTTGTACATTTATTCTAATAAAAATTGAAATAAACAGAAAACAGTTTCCAAAATTACCGAAACTTTTTGTATTACTGTGATTAAACATTATTAAGCTAGGAAAAATATAAAAATGGATTTCTAAACAGTTTAACCCAATTTTAGAATTTTTGTGCATTTATTCTAATAAAAAGTGGGTTTAAGTGTATTTTATCTTGGGAAAATAGAAGATAAATAATATACAGAAGATAAAAATCATCAAAATTTTTATATACTACAAGATGTTCTGGTAATTTTTTATAAATTTTGGATGAGCAGAACTATTTATCTATTTTTAGGCCATTGTAAATACAAAAATCGGGGAAAATAGGAATGCAATACGAAACATTCTGAAAATATTTTTTACAGTCTTTCACATACAAGGGAAGCCGCAAAAATTGTTAGGTATCATTTTCACATTCTCTAAAGTGGTTTTATGATTTATTTGGACTAAACAAAGAGAAAATTCACAACCACACTAAACAGTAACAAAAATCGATGAAACTTAATCAGAGGTCATTATTTAGCATAAGGGTCATCCACAAATTTACTTAGGATTTATAGTCATCCGAATGTATTTTATATGATTTTTTGACATATTTTCTTGCATTAATTATAGGAATTCGAGATAAATGAATTATTTTCTGGAAATTTACAAAGCATGTTATTGTGTTGATGGGAATCTGGGAAAAATCGGATTTGGTCAGGAAAGGAGTTTTAGATATTTATTTGGAAATAAATCCTTCATGAACATACTTAAAAGCTTTTAACAACATAATTTGATGATCTAACATCTAAGCTTGAAGATCATCAATTGCATGTTTGTTTGAAGACCATTCATGAGTTTGAAATGTTCAAAATTTGTTTTTGATAGAAAACTTAGGATGCATGTGGTGTTTTTCACCCAAAACTTGTAGAAACGTGCATTGTGGTGATTTTGACTTAGGTTTTGGTCCTTGGATTTCACCATTTACAACATGCATGTTGTTTTTGGATGAAATCCTATCACCATCATCATCAAAACCGTGAGTAGGTGCAAGTGTTCATGATTTTACAATAGAATGGAGTAGAAGAAAAAGAAACTGTAAGAAAAATAACAAAACTTTGAAGGAAAATGAAAGAACATCGTGTTCTACCTTAATGAACACCACTGGATGATTAAGATTTTGAGTTTGAGGTGTGTTCTTGGACTTATTTTTTGGAAAATTTCATGGTTCCTAGAGAGAGGAAGAGAAAATAGAGAGAAAATAAAGTGAGGGAGTGTCAGAGAGAAAGTGAAGTATGGATAAATAGAGTGTGGAGGGGAATTGATTGAGTGTTTTAGGAAGATGAGAGAGTGGAGAGAGAGAGGTACCCGAATTTTGAATGGAGAGAGGCTCTCCTTCTTTTAAATTTTATAAAATACAACTGTATTTTATAAAAATATCAAGTTTTTATAAAATATGCACCTTATTGTAAATTTTCCTTCACAAAACCTTGATTTTAGGTTAGAAAATAAGGTTAAATACTAATGACTTAAATTTTATTTCTCCTTGGTTATATTTTACTAAATTGAGTTATTTTAAATTGATATTATATATTCCATACTAAATTTTATGGATATTTAGGTGTTAATGTTTATAAATTTGAGTTTTTAGGGTTTTTAGGGTCTTGAGATTTAATAAATATTAGGATATCAAAATCAATAGAATCTTTGAGACTTCAATTAATCTTACTGTATTATAAGTCTTTTATAGTTATAAATAATGACATCATTTATTCTATCAGTTTATTGGCATTCTATGTAGTGATTCCGAGATTCAAACGAGATAGAGGAATCAAGTATACTAGTCCTAGTCTTCAACTTTGACTTAAGTTTATATGAGACTTTGACCTAATTTCTACTTATAGTTCAAGTGAATGATGTGTGTATATGATTCATGAAAAGTGTTTGAGTCAAAGAGTGACCCAAATATGGATAGTCACTATAGTTAAGTAGTAGTAGAATTCACATATCAAGGTGAAATCTAAGTACACTATCCTTCAATTCAACTTGTTTACGAGTTTCTAGTAGGCTATAACTTAGCTTCTAGTTACAAAGTCTAGTATGTTTTGTGCCTCTATGTACAACTAAGATTATTCAAATCTAGAATCGACTCGAATTTTGACGGTTGTCACAAATGGATAGTCATAGTAAGAGAATTGACCCTTCGGCCAAAATATTGTTTCCGACTTAGGGCGTCTGCTACTACGTTGGCTTTACCCGGATGATAACAAATTTCGCATTCGTAGTCATTGAGTCGCTAGACCCACCATCGTTGACTCATGTTGAGCTCCTTCTGGTCAAATATGTGTTGTAAACTCTTGTGGTCTGTAAAGATAGTGTTTTTCGTACCATACAGATAATGTCTCCAGATCTTAAGGGAAAATACAACTGCTCCCAACTTAAGATAGTGTGTGGTGTAGTTGACTTCATGTGTATTCAGCTATCTCGAGGCATAGGAGATGACCTTAACTCATTGCATCAGTACAAAAACGATCCCCTGGTTGGATGCATCGCAGTATACTACAAAGTCTTTTATCTCTTCGGGGAGGTATAGTATCATTGTAGTGAATAAGGCTAGCTTCAGTGTTTGAAACGCTTTTTCTTGCTTCTCTTCCCAGTCAAAGGCGACACCTTTCTGGGTCAGTGTTGTAAGAGGTTTCACAATCCGAGAGAAGTTCTGTATGAATCTGCGGTAGTAGCCAGCGAAACCTAGAAATTGAAGAATTTTTTTAGGCGTCTTTGGTGCTGACCAGTTCTCAACGGCTTTAATTTTGGAAGGTTCCATGTGTATTCCTTCTTTGCTAACCATGTGTCCAAAGAATTTGACTCTTCGGATCCAAAAATCACATTTCGAGAACTTCGCATAGAGCTTCTCCGATCGTAAGGTTCCTATAACTTGTCGCAGATGATCGCTATGCTCCTCCTTACTTCGAGAGTAGATCAGTATGTCGTCAATGAAGACGATGATGAAATGATCCAAGTAAGGACGACATACTCTATTCATTAAGTCCATGAGTAGTACTAGTGCATTGGTCAATCCGAATGGCATCACCACAAATTCGTAGTATCCGTAACGAGTTTGGAAGGCTGTCTTCGGAACATCCTCCGCTAGCATTCGTAACTGGTGATATCCGGATCTTAGATCAATCTTAGAAAAGTAACTCGCCCCTTACAGTTGGTGAAACAAATCATCTATGCGAGGCAGAGGGTAACGATTTTTTGACAGTATGTTTGTTGAGTTCTCTATTGTCGATGCACATACATAATGATAAGTCTTTCTACTTAACGAACAAGACCGGTGCTCCCCAAGGTGAGAAGCTTGGTCTAATAAAGCCCTTGCTGAGTAGTTCGTTAAGTTGACCATATAGTTCCTGCATATCAGCTGGTGCTAATCAGTAGGGCAATATGGCTACTCGGGTAGATCTTGGGACTAAGTCGATTCTGAACTCGACTTGTCGTTGTGAAGGTAATCTGGGTAGTTCTTCTGGAAATATGTCAGGGAAATCATGCACTACTGGAATGTTTTTAAGGTTATTCGTTTCTAGGCTCGTATCGACAACGTTAGACGGAAGGTTTAGACGGACTGCTTTCTCGTAACACATGATGTCGGCGCGATGAAGACTCAACCAATCCATGCCGATTATGACGTCGAAAATTTTAATTGACACTGGCATGAGGTCGATTGGAAAGGTATGGATATCTAGAGTTAGAGTACATCCTATGAATATACTGCTAGTGCTCTCAATTTTCCCGTTATCCATTTCTACAGTGAATGGTTCCTTAAGTGTGCATAGTTTTGTTTAAGTAAGCGAGCAAATTTATGATTTATGAAACTTCTCTCCACTCCACTATCATA